ATACTTTATAAATTGACTAAGTAAATAGATCTACTAGATTTCGACCTTATACGCTATAAAGGCGCCGCTATAGAAAATTAGCCGCACTAATTTTAGTAATAATTAATACTAGCTACCTAGCTAGGACCTTAAGGCAGTCCCTTCTACTAGATTATTAGGCCTAGCAACCTCGGAAAGAGCCGAAGCCCGAGTACCTATACCTACGGTCACGCCCTAAGCCAACTAGAGGAAGCTAAAGCAGGTCGTACGTAGTAGGAATAGTTCTTACTGCTAGGGAAATAGGACAAGACCTTAGAAGACTAATAACTAGGCGTAAAGGAATTACTATAACTCCTATACCTAGTTATAGCCAGGTATACGCGTCGCTATCACCTAAAGACGCCACATTAAAGTAGCGTTAGTACACCTTTGCTATAGGATTGCTAGTAACGGCCTAGCTAGAAGAGTAGTTATATAATAGACATTAGAGCAAGGCCGGGTTTAATAATAAGGCTAATAGTAACGCAATTGGCTAGTTAAGCGTTTAATTTAGCGCGTAAGAAGCGCGGCTTGTTAGGCTACTAGCTTAGCGAGGGGATAGTAGGAAATAGCTACGAGGGCGTAGCCTTTAGAAGAGAAGCCTATATTAGAGGGTATATAAAAGGCATATAGATAGTTAAGTAAAGCTAGGGTCTTAGTGCCTTAGGTAGGGCTTACTACTTAGCGCCTAGCGCTAGCCTAACTTCCTAACCTTCCTCTCTCTCCTTTATAGACCTTATCGAATACTATACGCTTTTAACTATACTATCTACCTATCTATATAACCCGTATTATAGCGAGGTAGCCTATAAAGCGAGGTAGCCTATAAAGCGAGGCAGCCTATAAAGCGAGGTAGCCTATAGAGAGAGGTAGCCTATAAAGCAAAGTAGTCTATAGAACTAGCTTATAATCTAGCAATCTATAGATTACTAAAATTCCTAAATTAGATTAGCTTAGATTGCCTCTAGAGGGGCTAGATTAGATTAGCTTAAATTGCTAAATAAGTAGAAAAGGGCTAGCTTAGACTAGCTTAGATTATAATCTTAAGCTAGATTATAATCTAGGCTTGCTTATAGACTATACCGGACTATTGTAATCTTACGATATTAGTCTCTATTATCTATTAGCTATACGAACTGCTACCCTCGATAGTATTAGAAGTAATATACTAACAATAATAGTAACTAATTGCTTTATAATAGTAGAATACTATATTATCTCGTCTAGTTTTAGAAAGTCTTAAATAATAGCTTTATAGTTAATAAAATAGTACTAGAATAGCTATATTAATAGAAGTCTTCTATATTTTATAATTTATTTATACTAAAAACTTTATATCGGCTATATTAACTCTACTATTACGAATAGTCTATTAGTAGTATATTATAAATCTTTATAAAAGTAAGTATATAATAGCTTATATAGAAGATTATATTATAAAATTACTACTATAGATGACAGCTACACTAATTAATAATCTATATACTAGCATTGATATAAATCCATTAGGGCAGTAAGAAGTTGTTAAAAATTCAAGGTCCCTCGAAAGCAGGGCCGTGCGTTACGCGGGGCGGGTCAAAATTGTACCTTCGTAACCCTCGAGGATTCCCCGAGCCCTAGCTACCCGCCCGAGCCCTAGCATAACCCGAGATTATAAGATCGGCTGTTCTATACAAAATCGCGTATAGAAGCGGTAATCGCGTCGCTATAGGCCCCTCCGACCGGGCAACTACTATACTGCTACTAGCAGCTATAAAGCCAAAGTTTGTTAGCAAATTAGTAGTATAGCAAAATTCAAGGTGTTATTGCTTGCTATCTACTTAGGCCTAAGCGGATTACGACCTGCAGCCTTGTAACTACGTAATGCTATATATGCTAGCTTATATTAGTCCCTTATTTGCTAACTAGCCTGCTACTATATATAATACTACTACTAAGTAAACTAATAGTGCTATTGTTGTAGCACCTAGTAATGAAGTAGCCGCTCTATTAGCTATATAAGCGACTATTGTTGTTGTTGCTAGTGCTAGTGCTAGTAGTATTGCCAAGCAGCCTATCGTTGTTATTGCTTATACAATGCCGCCTACTAGCGGCTATAGTAAGCTTGTTGTCTCGCTCGCTCTTCTTCCGCTTATAGTCGTTGTTGTTTATAAGTACGTAGGTGTTTAACCTCTCGGCGGAGCGTATCTAGCTTAGAAGGTAGCTCCGGAGCTACTAGAAGTAAAGACTCGATACGTAGATTATAGCACTCGAAGCTACTTAGATAGTAAGCAGAGCTACAAGCACGATTAGCCTTCTAGCAAGGGCACTGTTAAGTGCGGCATTAGCTCTTTACGCACTTATAGTGCTCGGCAACTATCGTACGAAGCTATATAAGAGACACGCCTAGCTCTAAGGTAAAGTCTACGGTCCTTACTGTCGCTGTCTTCTGCTTCTTAGCTACTATAGTATAGTTTAAATCGTCGAGTTCTCGAGCCGTTGCTATACGCTTAGTTAAATACAACGTTGCTCCGCTAGTAAGAGGTTTACGGTTACTATATACTACTTATAGCTCTCGGAGCCGTACTAGCAGTCGATTAACCTCCTACTTCCGTACTAGTAAGAAGTCGATAAACTAGTAAACGTAGAAGTAATATAGCAATAGTAGAGCGCGCTTTCTACCTATTTCTATTAGCTTTATTATCTCGTAAAGGCACGGATAGCTATAGGTCTTCGTTAGGTAATCGTTATAGCGGTACTATAGACAGGAGTAAGAATAAGCCGAGTGCTTTATCTTATTGCCGTTGTCGTCCGTTGTAGTGTTTAGAAGGGTAATAGCGCGCTCGTAGACCTTATAAACCTCGAGAAGGCAGTAGTCGCTAATAATGCGAGAGACACTCGCAAAGAAGGGCCCTACTAATAGCTTGCAGTAGCGCTTTAGGTTATTAGCTAACTAGACTCTACGGCGGTCGTATCCTTAGTGCTACTAGTTAAGAAGCGACTTAAAGAGTAAATAGATATCGTGTCGGCTGCTATAGTTAAGCTACTGTTTAATCCGACCGTAGTATGCTTCTATACGAGACGTAACCTTCTCGCCGAAGTAAAGGACTTAGTTAGTCTAGTAGTAGACGATCTTCTCCTTGTGTTTCTACTAGTTATTATATAGATATTGCTTGAATTAGGGATACACGTTGTCTAGTTTGCTAACGTTGCTATTAAACTCCTCTTCTAACTAACTTCTTATAGTGTGTATAAACAACTGTAAGAACTTGTTAGTACTTGGACTGTTAGTCTATAAGCTATTAGCTTTAATCTATGCAAAGTCGCCTCGTTCTTTCCGGATACGAGTAAGAATGTCCTATTATAGGTGCTAGTTATATACAATAACAAGCGCTTTAGGAATAACCTCCTTAACGGCGTAGATAAGCGCTTCTTCTCGATCCGTACTTATAACGTAAGGTATTAGACAACCGGCTTCTTCGAGACCTTTCCGTAGTAACTATAATAGCCGGATAAAGTCCTTCTTATTAGGCTTCGGTCTAATTAGACTAACGCCGAGCTTAATAGTGTCATTTATCGGTCTAGTAGCGACAATATCTAGTAGCTCGAGGTTGTATAGATTAGTAGAATACGTAGTGTCGAGAACGAGTATATAAGGCGTATCCTTAAAGGCCGAGAGCGATATAGGATAGAGGGCAACTATAGACTTAATTAAGCTATTACCGTTAGATTAAATGTCGTAGAAGATGCTATTCTTATCTAGCAAGTCGATAGTCCGCTAAGCCTAGTTATACTCCCTTCGAGCATTAATACTACGTCCCTAGGCGAGGTTCTTTATATCGTATAGCCGTAATAGAACGCTACGGCCGCGGAAGTATACTATAATCTTAGACGTAGCTATTCGAGACTACTAAAGCCGCTCTAACTCCTCGAGAAACTAAGTCGTACGAGAGCGTTATCGGTAAGTCGCTAGTACTATAATATTATTAGGTCCGTAGTTGTAGCGATAGTAATCTTAGTCGCTAGAGTAACGAATTTCCTACTAACCTTCTAGTTATAGAGGGTCGATTATAATAGCGTAGAAGTAGAATTTATACCCTATCTTCTTCGAGTGCGACTTCGACTTGCCCTTATTCTAGGTCCTTTTATCTAGTTAACTAAAGTAGCTATATATATAGTAGTGTCTATATTTAGCGCCGTTCTTATTCTTCCTTAGCTTCTACTCCTTAAACTCGTATCCGTATTACGCGCTAAATTCGTAGATATAGCGCTCGAGTGCCTATTTCGAAGGGAAGTCGTCTTCTCGTAGTATTAGACCTCGAGGTCGCTCTACTAATACTACCTTCGAGAATAGCGCCTTCTATAGCCGCGGCGATACCGACGCGTGCGATAATAGATACTATAGCCTTATATACGGCGCGTCGACTAATCGACTGCGCGTACGACCTCTCGGCACTTCTACTACCTATTCTGTCTCTTCTATTACTAAATCTACTACCTCTACCTCCGATTCTACTACCTCCGCTACTACTACCTCTATAGCGCCGCCGGCGGCAGCGGCGATACTATCGTTAGCGAGAAAGTTATCGATATAAGCCTCGTATAATAGAGATTTAGCCATTTTCGATAGTTACTAGGCAATCTACTATAAAAGTAGGAAGAAATGCGAATTATACGAATATAGACTCGGAGGCGCGACTTCCTAGGTAGCGCGCCTACGCGCCTATCAACAATACTAACTAGGAATAGAAACAGCCTATATTAGGCGGAAAGAGTACGTAATTTGATACAGAGGCGATTCTACAGTAGTGCTAGTGTAGGGATATGCTGGGGCTCGGGCGGGTAGCTGGGGCTCGGGGAATCCTCGAGGCTTCGTGACTTCTTCAGGCACGCTGGCCCCTGGCGGAGCAGAGCGACACCGACATCTTGCCCTGCCCCGGCCTTGCCTACATCCGCAGCGTTCTGTAGCACGAATCTGAATCTGAATCTGAATCTACGGTCAGCGGTCAGCGGTCAGCGGTCAGCCAGCACCAGCTCTTTCCATCGCCTCAGTCCCGCCATCATCGCTGCCGTGAGCACGCGACCGCGAGAAGAAGCATCGTCCCAAGCCAGAACATCTCTACTAGGCATTTTAGAGGGGAAGATGCGCTGAAGCGAAGCATAGCGCTGATATCACAGCACAACGATTGAGCAGTGTTGAGCAAGAGCACGCGGGTGGAAGTGCAAAGGACTGGGCTCGTGAGCCAGTGCCAGTGCCAGTGCCAGCGCCATGGACCGCCAATCTCACCCGGCACCTGACAACGACACCGGCCGAACGAATGAGCAGAACGTTCGACTGGCTCTCGATTACTTGCGAAGCCGAACCGCCGGCGGTACCGTTCGTGACAGCCGACCTGCTCTGCCAGACAGAAGAGAAAGCGGCGACAGCGCAGAGCGGAAGAGGCGACATACGGGCTCAGAGCCACAGCGACGAGACTATCCATATCCCACATACAACGCCACTGCCTCGCATCTTCACCACGCTGCACGTCTTCCCTCACCACCCGGGAGCAGTAGAGAGACTGCTATCGACCTGACATCACCGCCTGCTCAACCACAACCACGACCTGCCAGACCATCGATCCCAAGAATGCCAGGTAGCGATGACGGTAGAAGAAGTCCAGGCGGAGCTGCACCATCGGCTACAAGAGACAGCGACATTGTATTGCCTCGGTGGCAACCAGACAACGACGTGACCAAGTGTCCCGTCTGCGACACCGAGTTTAGCCTCCTGTATCGCAGACATCATTGCAGGAAGTGCGGCCGCGTGGTGTGTAATAGGTGCTCGCCGCATCGCATAACCATACCGCGGCAGTACATAGTACAGCCCCCGAATCCCTACTTGCTGGGAGATGAGGCTGCGCCGTCGACATCACCTTCAAGCAGACGGAATCCAGCGCTCGGCGGAGGCGACATTGTCCGAGTGTGCAACCCGTGCGTACCAGATCCATGGACGCCAGACTCGAACATCGCCGCTTCAGCACCCATTGCCCCAGTTCCCCCACCGCCATCCAGGCCAGTGACCAACAACTTCCCGCCCGCTTCAGCACCCTTGCCAGACCAAGCAGCCTCTCGCCAGATGACCGCGCGACAGCAAATGATAGACGCGATGCGCAATGCAGCCGTGGCACGGGTGATAGGATCACACGGACGACACTATTCTCAGCAGGGAGCCCAATCTTCACTATCAGCGCGACAGCAAGAGATAGATGCGATGCGCAATGAAGCCGTAGCACGGGTGATAGGATCACACGGACGACAAACTTCTCAGCAAGGACACGAATTTTCAATTGGACCGCGACAGCAAGTGATACATGATGCGATGCAGGCTGCTGATGCTGCCATTCAAAGTTCTCGTGCTGCCATTCAACGATCGCGGTCGAACACTTATCACACCCTGGACGCTTCGCAATCATCACAAGCATCTGTTCCGCCCACTTCCACAAGGTATCATGGTCATCGCTACAGCCAGAGCAGCGGTGGTGGCCCTGCCTTCAGCCCATTCACGCCTCCATCGTTTACTGACCCGGGCAACAACCGTAACGGAGATCCAAGACGACAGTCCCGGGTAGTGATGTCACCATCGTTGCCCGACCAGTCGCGTCCAAGACGTCAAGTCCGTGAGGAGGACGAGTGTCCCGTCTGCGGCGAAGAAATGCCACCAGGAGACTCGGTACGCGAGACTCACATTGAGGACTGTATAGCCACGCGCTTCTCATCAACGCCCACGCAATCCGCTGTGCGTCCACCGCCAGCGCCGGGAACTCCAGAGTCTGTTGGTCATGCGCCTGAAGGCTCACGACCACGCGCCACCAGCTTTCGACCACGCGGCATGTTGAAGTCCAAAGCCACGGAGAAAGATTGCGTTGGCGCCGACGGCGAGCCACAGGAGTGCATTATCTGTTTTGAGGAGTTTGAGGAAGGCGATGACTTGGGAACCATGGAATGCTGGTGCAAGTTCCACCGCGACTGCATCCGTGGCTGGTGGGAGAAGAAAGGCCCTGGAAGCTGCCCAACGCATCGACTTTACGATTGAATACGCACGCACGCACACACGTGATTAGGATAAGGCGCACTGCACTGCACTGCATTCGAGATACCCCCACACTCTTACTGAAGATGAATGAAGACAAGGACGGAAGGCATCGCATTCGCTACATGAAGGAGTTGGTCAATAGATGATATGATTTACTAGGCAAGTGGCGCTTGGCGTATGCAGCATAGCGGCTATTGGGTACGATGATACGGAGTTCTGCGGCATACACGACTATAAGCTCTTCATTGGAATGATAAACGTCTATTGTCTCTTGCCTCTTGGCAACAACCATGCATGCTTGCCATCCTCGGTGCAGCTGCCAAATCAGATTCAGAACGGGGGCAACAGGGTCTGTGATCATCCATTCTCCTAACGCCAAGAGTGATTAGATGATATTGAAGGTCCTGATTGTCTTCTGCGTCTACTGAAAAGGTCAATGGCCCAGCGAAGGTGCCTGGGACTTCTTTGATTACGACTGCTTTGGTAAGAGATAAGAACCTGCAGAGTCGGCCTTTGAGCTGTAACTACTGCTCTAAACGCGGAGTTAACTATCGATGTAGGAATCCGTAGACTAAAGCAGGTACGTCCCGTACGCGAAAGTCTTACTACGCTAGCATCTTCTATTACGCTAAGCGTTACGCAATATCTATACGCGTATCTTTACGCGTATACTCTCTTCCTTTCTTTCTACTATATACTACTAGTACGTATCTACCTAACCCCTACTCCTATTCCTTTATATAATCCTATATATATACGCAACGAGCTAATAATACGACTTCGATATCGTAGCTAACCGAGTCTCCCCGTCTATCTATACCTATATCTATAGCTTTATATTATAATAGTTAGAGGCTAAGTAGTAAGAATATATACTAAACTTTAAACAGAACTAAAGGGAATACTAAATTAATATAGCTATTATCTATATAAGACAAACTACGAAGAAAGGAAAGAAGAGTAACTTAGAGAGAGAGCCCCTTCCTAGGTATCCTATCCTATAGATATCTAGCTAGTCTGTCGCGTAAGCGTAGGTATATATATCTTACTTACTTGCTTCTTAGTAAACCTCTGCTTTTAGGTCCTTCCTTACGCGCCGAGCGCGAGCGCGTATATCCCGATTATCTATTATCTCGTAGCGACCTTATTTCCTAGCTATTATATATAGCGTATAAGCGCGAACTTATTAACTACTCTTAAGTAAATATATTTCTCCTATCTCTTCCTAGTCTTCCGGCTCCTTCCTACTACTCGGATCTATCCTACGACTCTATATATCTTACTTACCGTCGTTTATATACGAGTACGTATCGTTTAGTATAGTTCTGTTATTTATATATTAAGGTATAACGTATTATTCTACTATATACGGCCTCTACGGGAGTCCCTAAGATCTTACGTTATACGGCTAAATAGGCGGCTAACTAGGCGAGCTACTTCGCTAGAGGCCCCTAACGCTATATTATAGTAGATAACTAGAAAGTACCGAGAAGTCATATAAGCTAACAAGAATACTATAAAGTAATATCGGATATGAGTAACTTAGTAGTAGGGGCCCCTAGCAAAATAGGTCCACTATTTACCCGCCTATTTGCCGTATACGTAATAACTTAGGGACTCCCGTAGAGACCGTATATAGTAGAATAATACGTTATATATTAATATACAAACGACGGGACTATACTAAACTACGCGTACGCGTATACGGACGATAGTAAGCGAGATATATAGAGTCGTAGGATAGATCCGAGTAGTAGGAAGGAACTAGAAGATAGAGAAGAGCTAGGAGAAATATATTTACTTAAAAGCGGTTAAACGAGTTCGTATACGCGCGCCGCGTAAGTTAGCTAGGAAATAAAGGCGCTATAAAATAACGGATAAGCGGGATATACGCGCGTATACTTAGCGCGTAGGAAAGGACCTAAAGGTAGAGGTTTGCTAAGAAGTTAGTAAGTAGGATATATATACTTACGCTTACGCGTCGGACGCGCTAGACGCCTATAGGGCGGGATACTAAAGAAGTATTACGAGACGATAGGGTTAGATAGAAGACGAGTTGTCGTACGGTTCTATCTAAGAGGTAGAAGGAAGCGTACGAGGAAGTATCCTCGCTAAGACTTAATACCTTAGGCTATAATAGCTAGCCTAGGCGTTACTCTATAATAGTATTCCCCTCCTTAATAAGGAGCTCCTACGACGCCTTAATAGCGTATAACAGGCCTTTCTTTAGTGTCTACACTAATGTCTATACTAATACTTAATATTATACTAAATCCTAGTAGGCAATACAAGCACCTCGTACTATCTACTTATTACGCAACTTACTAGTAACGTCGGGTCTAGCTAAGAGGCTCTTATCTAGTAGAGCGCTAGGTCCCATCCTAACTACTCGGTAGCGAGTCTTCTTAGGGTTAGAGGCCGGCATTAATACAAACGGCGGTTTACGGTAGAGAAGTATAGCCCTTTTATATTACTAATAGTCTATACTGCTTTATAGGCAGTAAGTCAAATAGGCAGTAAGTCCTAACTCCTTAGTAGCGGCTAGCTCTAGTCTACTTAGATATTATTAGTAATATTCGGCTACTAACTCCTTAGCTCTAGGTAGGAAGTTATCCTATTGCTATATAGTCTCTTCTTCGCTCTTCTATCGGACCTTATACTATATCTCTCTATCTTCCGGGTTCTTACGCGAGCTATAGATCTTATCTAGTTCTCCCTCTTCGGCCTCTTCGCTATCCCGCTCGATAACTACTAGTAGCGGGTTAGTAGTTAGTTCTTGTCCTAGTAACGGATCTTTAGCTACAGCGCGTAGTATTAATATATAAAATACCGGGTAGAGTGCTCGTATCGATAGTAGGAGCTCGAGGCGGAAAGAGCGACAACTAATACCTTTCTTAATATAGAAAGGACCTAACTATTTGTTATCTAGTTTCTTACTAAGGCGGTTAGTCTTAATATTACGCGCGTTAAGCTAGACAAGCGAGCCTAGTTAATAGTTAGATACTATAGCGTAGTAAGTATTAGCTATATTAGCGTTCTTAACCTATATTAGTATATACGCCGCTCTATATTCCTCGAGGATAGCCTATATCCGCTAAGCTACTATATTAGCTAACTTAAGGTTAGCTAGCTGTTTCTTAGTTAGCTACGGCCTATTTAGAAGGTCCTAGAAACCTATATTTAGGTATCGACTAGTATTCGCGAAGAATAGCGTTATACCGGTAGCTAAGGCGACGTAGTTGTTTATTACAAATTCGGCTAATAGCAGCTACTTAGCCTAGTCGTCTTATTAATTAGCGTAGAATATACGTAGATATTACTCGAGTGTCTAGTTAGTACGCTTAGATTGTCCGTTAGTTTCTAGATAGAAGGCGGAAAATATATTCTATATAATACTAAGATAGGCATATAGACGCTTAAAGAAGGTACTAACGAATTAGGACCCGCGGTCGCTAAAGATAATAGAAGGTACTCCGTACGTCGGGTAGATAAAGTAGTATAGCTAGTTATTAGCTAGTTATTAGCTAGTTATAGACCCCGTAGTAGTTCGGTTTCCGAACTACTAAACGTATATAGTTTAGTTTCTTAGCGGCGAACTAGCTCCCTAGTTCCGGTTTGGTTTTTCGAACTATATAGATTCCTAGTTCGAACTAGAGACTATATTAGTTTTACTATAAGGATACTCTTCTTCGACTACTAGCTACGATTGCCGGCTATAATAGTAACTCTATTACATTTACTACGCTCTTTTACTATTGCTAGGGCGTAGTTACCGTTACTAGGACGTAGTTTTACTATAAGGACACTTTTATTATACTACTAGCTACGATTACCGGCTATAATAGTTACTAGGTTATATTTACTATACTCTATTGCCGTTACTAGGGCGTAGTTACTATTACTAGGGCGTAGTTGCCGTTACTAGGGCATAGTTACTATTACCGGGGCGTAGTTACTATAGTTGCGAAAGCTTACCTATATAACGTTACGTAGGCGGTAACAATTTAGGCTTCGCGATATTCTTATACTTTTAACTTCTTCCTCTATACCTATACCGATAATAACTACTATACGCTACGCCCCTACCCCTTTTCCTTATAATAGCAAGAGAGAAGCGCGCTACGCGCTAAATAGAAGATAGAACTAAAGACTACGAGTTTATTTTGCCTAAGCGTCTAACTAAAAAGCGTAAGACTAAAGAGGAGTACTCTATAAAGAAGAATCCGTACGAGACCGCGAGAGAAAGGAGAAGATAGATAAGGATAAAAGAGCTAAAGATAAGAGAAGAAAGGCGCGGAATAAGGCATTCTATCGATAGCTAGCGCCTATAGAAAAAAGTAAAGGTTAGAATAAGAAGACAACCTAAGAGAAGGCTAAGAGGAGGAAAGAATTGCGGCTAGTTTTCGAGCGTAAAGTTCTAGTAGCGTAAGTTAATCTAGCTAGCGGCCGTAGCTAGTAGCTATAGCCGGTAGCTATAGCCGGTATATTTTTCTTTAATACGTTAACTAATAGTATTTAGACCTATAGCCGCTATCTCTATCGATACGACCGATAGTAACGGAGATATTTAGATAGCCGAGAACAATAATACTAGAGTTTAGAATACCGCGACGGAGCTTAATACTACGAATAAAGGAACTAAAAAAAGCGAGGAGATACCCTATATCGATCTAGTAATAGGTATAGTCTTAGGGCCTAACGCTATAGACGATAAGCGCTAGGAGTAGATCGAGTATAGTTAAAGAGACGAGATACTAGTAAAAGGCTAAGGTATAAGTCCTATTAATCTAGAAATTTATAGTTAAAGCTACTATAAAAAGCTAGTAAGGATTAGAATCGAGACTAGTCGTCTTTATATCCTCGATATAGAGTAGAAGTTTCTTTATTAGTATTAGAGCGAAGCCTTTACGTCTATAAAGCCAAAGTAGCTTACGATTAATGCGATTAGGGCTAGGTATCTAGGGACGGTAGAAGTGTTACTAAGGAAGGAAGGGATATAG